TTTAGAAATACAGAAAGTAACAGATGCTTGTATAAGGTCAATCGCATTTAAAATTATTGTTATTCAGAAAGACTTAATGAGTGCTTTTTGGGGGAAAACTCACTTTTTAAACTGAATGAATATTCTTCATCACTCAAAGAATTGAAGTTTCATTTATAGAAGTTGCACATTTATTTAAAGACTCCAGTTTATTTTGAAAAATTTTGGATAGTGATTACAATTACGTAATAAAAATGAATGATTTGGTTATTTTATATGCCAAACTAATCAATGCAGATAATTTTAGTCATACAAATGTAAATCGTCTCAGGCTCATTTGATTGATGAAATGTAATTGGATAATGTTTTGTCACCATTTTAAACAGCTATTCCCCAAAATTATTGAAATTATTATTGTTAGGTTATTTTAAAGATGTTAGTAATTTTAGTTATAAAAAGAAAAGCTTAAGTAGACTTTCAGCAAAATTGGCTAGAGAAATTTAAAATATATCTAATTCTGTATTCTTTATACACTTTAAAAGAATGGGCAGTTTTCTAGTTTGTCATTAATAAAATGACTTTCAATCTTAAAATTAAGCGGTCCAAAGGAGTAAAACATCTCTTTATATCTATAAGTATCCTATTGGTATTTAAAAATGGAATTACTGAGTCCATACTCTATAAGAAGTGTATTAGTGACTGACACAAATTGACTGACGGTTTTCTTTAAAATCATATCAAGCATAACTTCTTGAAATTTATTGTTTGTAGAGCAATAATTTTTGGATATGTTAAATTTTGAATGTTAAATTTCTGATACTAATTACTGAGCATACTGAAGTAAAGTGAGCTAGAGAGTGAAAATCCTGTTTGGACCTATTCATAAAATTTTTTAGGAAGACTATATATTGTTCCTGTCACATAATTAAACACACAGAATGAAAGATTTTATTTCTTTGTAAGCAGATACTTTAAACTTATTAAAAATGATATTTCTCCTTCCAAAGAAATCTTCAAGAAACTCATACAAGTTTTTTGAACTGGATTTTAAATGGAGGCTAAGTTATACCTCAATATTAGGAAGAATACAGAACTGTTTTGTTTTCTCAAAATCAGAACAAACTTGAAACAAGGAGTGAGAAGCCTGATTCTCATTCCCAAGTTCTTAAGAGACTTGGCCAAAGGCATAAAACAGGTTACTTTTTCTTAGAGTCTTTTTTTTTCTTAATCTGTAAAGTGAGGATAATGATTTGAGGGTCAAAGGAAATAATACACATTAAAGTATCTTGAATAGTGTTGTGTGCCATAGAGGTGAAAGTTATTTTTACTCTGGATTTGAATATGGAAAGTAGTATGCCGCTGTATCATACAGGCAGCGCTCCCAGCCTTGCTCATTCCCTTGTGGGGAAGCAGTATTTGACCTCAACTTTCAAAGTTTATGCAATCTCCTCAACATTTTGGGGAAATCCTTTGTAAATTTTACAGCCATTCCTAGGTAAATTCCTTCAAATTCTCACCAAAAGTCTTCATTCTGTAGCATAAGTTCATTTTTCCTTTTTCTGCGTAACACTCATGTTTATTGATTCATTCATCCAACATCTTATAAAGTGGTTTAATGTGCTGAGTATTAGTCTGATCTCTCAAATTCACTGTACATAATTTTGTGATCTGTAGGTTCGTTCTTGTTTTAAATTACATTAAACCTCCATGGTTTAAAGAGGGTAGAATGAGAAGCTAAGTCATTCTGATTTGAAGATGGAAATTGAGGCTCCCTTATTAGTGGGCCCACTTAGCTATAAAAGGGTAGGGGGAAGCCCCGAGCATCACTCCGATGGCTCCTGCCTCCTGTTCCGCAGTGTAGAGTACCTTCTGTGTCCTTTAGAATCATGGTGGTAGAGCTTTAGTTAGAATAGGCACAGGAATTTTTGAAGCAGTTGGGATATCCTGCTTCCTAAATGCAATCTCCTCACAGGTAGTAGAACTCTGTTGAAAGGGGCAAAGCTAGGGCCAAGATCTCTCAGTTGCTCGTTCTCCCACCATGGGAGAAGTTCTGACATTAGAGCTTTCCTATTAGTGAGCAACTATGCACAGGAAGCAGACATCCTCACACAGAGAACGATATTGTTCTTTCAGTCACCCAGGCAAAATCCACATTTCAGCTGAATCATAAGGACTATTTACTTTAGTTTTCAGACTCCTGTTTCTGTACCACGGTATTCTTCCAAAAGCCAGCAAAAACACACATTAAAAACAAAACTTTAACATAATTATCGTAAATGAATTTTTATTAAGCAGGTATTTTTTACGTGATCCACCAGGATATAGCCTAACTTTTTAATTTACTTTTTATCTAAAACATTGAGAAAAATTATGCTTATCTAAAGCTTAGATGCTTTTATGGAATTTTAACGTTGTAATAGCACTATAATTTCTTGAAACTCAGTAACTGGACCAAAGGAGTCAGCTTTTAATAACTGATAGCTAATATTAATATAACCTCTAAGGCCCTCTAAGAACTTGTGAAACTTCTCATTTTAAAATAAACTCCTTTTAAAATTCTTTAAACAAATTTCTTTATTTCTTTTAATCAGAACACTAGATTCATTCACTGCCACAATTCCTCAATGTCTCCAGTAAGAAGCACCAGTAATAATTTGTAATATAAGAGATGCTTCTGAGGTGGAGTCACTGCAAGTTCACATGCTAGCTATTGGACTGCTAACACATTCTGAATCTGTGCCTAGTCCAAAAAAAGGTTTCCTGCCCAGGACACAGGGTCATATGATGAAATGAACTCTTGAAATACAATTCCTTCCTCTGAGGAACACACTGTATTTCATTAATTTGTGAAACATGCTTATGCATTTTATCCTTCCCTGTCTTTAGCAGTGCATTGCAAAGCATTTCCTATGTAAAGAAATTTTCATAGTACCCTACACATTCTAATTTAAAATTTTTTGATGTTGAAAAATGATATTGTGTTTTATTTTTTGACTTTAACATCAATGTTATGTTATGACCACTAAGGTCCTATTTTGCTTTTTAGTACTTCAATTTATTCATTTAAGGTGGAGTTAGATTTATTATTCACTAATGTTTTTAAAGGATGAACAAGTTAATATCTGTAAAGTGCTTTGACATAGTTAAAGCAAAAGCCCATGTAACCCTATAAAGTATTAGCATCATCTTCATCTTATCATCACCCTACCCTTAAAGCTTATAGTGTAATCATTTATTCAGGACCATCTAGCAAGCGACTGGCAGAGTTAGTACCAGGACTCAAGAGTTCCAGGGCTTCCTTTGCTCAGTGACACCAACTTTAGGTCAGGTGGCTAGCTTTATGGAGAATAGAAATAGAATTCAGTTGACCTTGGCATTTTGGAGAAGTGGTTGGTTAAATGTAGAATTGTTTTTAAAGGGACAATCATGGCATAATTAGAGACAAGAAAGAAAATCTCTAGCAATCTGTCCTCTTTGTTTTGAACAAACATTACTAGAAGAAATCACTATTGAACACAATGGAGTTGTGATGTAGCAGGGAAGATTAAGATTAGTTATCAGGAAAATTTTACATTATACAACTTTTGAACCATGGTATGTATTTTTGGAAGAAGTAAAATGATCACTTAAGGTTATCAAAGAACAGTTATTACAGAAATAGTAACTTGAGGCAATTGAGGTAACTTGAGGATTTTATGGACGTCCCCCTCAGAAAGAATCTAATAGTCTCTACTAGTACTGTGAGCTAGAGAAGCCATACTTTCTCGTGGTGACTCCATTATTCCCTGCATGGTTCCCACATGTTCCACAGAGCCATATGACCTCCAGTAAATCTGTGCATGGTTAAGGCAGGGTGACAGAACCATCAAATGTTGACTCAGCTAGACCTAACTGAGTTCCAGCAGTGGAACTGGATCTTTGCAGTTATATAGATATATATAGATTAAATTATATAGATTTATTTTAAGATAGTCAATTCTGCTCAGTCTAAGGATGGCCAAGAAAGATTGCTTCAAATTTTGGGTCGCCATTGTTCACCAGAAGTGTGAGGAAGCTACCCTTTTCTGAATCCACCTTGCTTTCTCTGCCAGCATCCCCACTCCCCGCCTGTGGTATTTTCTTACAAGGGTATGGTTTACTATTTTTATACTCTCCTACTAATCTCATAATGTAGGTAAACAGGAAGCTGAGGGAGAGGATAGCTCAATAGAGTACAGACCATCTTAAGTTTGTATTTCTATGATTAACATCTTAGGAAATATTTCATGCTGGATGAAATCCTTTCTTATCCTTACATGTTTCAATGCTAAACTTTTTTTAACTAATAAAAATTTTACATTTAAATACTGAGTTCAAAGCTTGGTTAGAGGAAAAGTTGGAGAGCTGACTTGACTGGGTGGTGAGCACACAATGCAATGTATATTGTAGATGATGTATTATAGAATTGTATACTTGAAACCTATAACCTATGTAATTTTACTAACCATTGTCACCCCAATAAATTTAATTTAAAAAAGGCCATACATGTATATGTGTATGATTTATGTTTTTATTCTTTTAAACCATTAACTTGAAATACAGAAGTGCAGTTTTATACAGCAGATAAAACAAGGAGAGAATTATCACTTTACAAAAGGATTATTTAGCAACAAAGTTTTGAGAATAGTCTATTAGGAAGCAAACTTCCCTAATGCAGTTGGAGTATTTGATTTTACAAATGTAAGTTATATAGACGTATAATAAAAATAGCCATTTCAGGTATACTGATTTATATATGAGTATTGTAATTATAGAGTAAAATACTCAAAATGAAAATAATTTAACATAAAAAATATAAACTGACTTACTGCTCGTTAGTGTAACTCTAAGGAATATTACAAGAGACCTGGTCATGAGACTTTATTAATTAATATTTTTCAATCTTAAGTAAATATATGGTAATTATTTTAAATCTGTTTGGGTAAAGAGCCCTCTGCAATATCTAAATTCGTAATTTTACTAGTTTTTATTTTTTATTCCAGGTTTTAATTACAACAAGGACAGCTGCTGATAACTTTAGCACCCAATATGTTTTAGATGGCAGTGGCCACATAATTTCTCAAAAACCTTCACATCTTGGACAAGGTAAGAGAGCAACTTAGTAGCATTCTTTAATAGTTTATTTAAACATTCTTACTCGTTAAATTCAAATACATTGCTTTGGGCTTGGTCCTGGTAAGAGCTAGTTCACTTCCAAGTGAACGTGCAGCCTATGCGTTAGCCAACAGTCTCTTAAATACCTAGAGTTGTTCTCAAGAGGAGCTGTGTGAAAGACTGGACAACATGGATTAGTTACTCCTCTGTGAAAACTGTAAGGGCAATTATGGTTTACTAGTGTCTTCTTTATATATGAAGGATAATATTTTACTGGAATGCCTAAAACATTGATTTGGTGATTATTGTAATAAATCATACCATCAAGATATTATGATTAAGTAAATAATTTAAAATATATTTATTTATTTATGGAAAACTTTAAATATGCACACAAGTAGATAAACTAGTGTACTCATCACTCATTTAAAGCAATTATTAACTCATTGCTAATGTTTCATCTAATACTCTCACCTACTGCCTCCCTTTCTATATTATTTGAAGCAAATAAATACATTAATTATTATTGCTATTTGTCATTTAGTTCCTTAGTGTTTTATACACTTAAGTAATTTTATTACATTTCAGTTGAAATCTTATGTTTCTAAGTTCCTCTACTATTTACTTCTAAGGGACAAAAATCTCTTTAGGTTTGAGTTTAATCTTTTTCATACTGCTAACTTCTGGTAAGGATGTTTAAAGTTGAGAGAATATTAAAGGTATTACCTCTTTAAAGTCATGTTCAAAAGAATCATTAAATCTGAAAAGGGAATTGTGTGTTAAATTATGGGATTTATTTTTTTCAAATGACTTACCTTCTTTGAAATTTACTTCCTTGTATCTTCATCCTGATGCCAAATTGTCTCATTTTTTTCTCTTTTTTTAATAAACCTCCAGTTAGTTACTGATTACTTATTGCCCCTTAAGAATTTATATTTTTGTATCTACATGGGGAAGGAGTTAATAGAAACTCCTAAGAAAACACACTTAACATTTTTTCTCATTTATCCAGTTAATAAAAATGAGCTCATCTAATTACTATTTAATTTGGTGTATAATAATATTGTATATATTTTATTTTAAAATAATAGTTTGTGATTCTTTTTATGTATGAAAGGTTAGAACAAAGAGAAGGCCTTTTTAACTATGGTCCCTCTCCAGAAATGAAGAACCCCAGTTCTTAGAAGTTCAAATTAGGAAACCATTAGGAGATATTTGAGTGGCTATCCAGTAGAGTACTTTGAAGTAATCTAGTCACCTTATAAAACTTAAATGTATTTATTTTTATCTTAGTAACCAGTCTAATCTGGATGGCCAATGGTTTTGCATCACTCATACTTCTCATACTTTTCTGTATTCATCTCCATGAGAACTATGAAATGAGAATTCTTAAATATGGAATTCTTCTGATCTTTGCCCATTTGCTGATTGATTTTTCTTTTCTTATTGGAATTTCTACAGTCAGTAAACTAACCTTATTTTCTTTAGCAATATTCCTTTTACCTTAAGAAACAACATAGTTGGAAGGTCATTAGTTGCTAACCTGGTACTAATTGCTTGTCATAACTCACTTTTTTCTTCTAATTACAGTTGATTGGCTAGGTAAGCAACCAAAAATTCAGCTCTTAGTTTCAAATTGCTCTAGGTGGACATGCTATAGAAACCCACAAACACTTTGAAAAGCATTTTACATTCATATTGCCTTAGTGCTGATAGTTTTTGAGTGATCGAATCACAGACTCACATTTCACCACCAGCTGTCATTCAGCTTCCATTTAAATATTTTCTGTGTAAGATAAAACTACGGTTCAACCATCTTAATTAATACCTGTGCATTTAGGGTTCTTGTAGATTAATTTCTGCTGTGGTATCAGCATCTTTACTTAGCAGTCACTCCTCATATTATCTGATAGGATGGCACCTGAAGAAGATAGCCTAACTGTAGGAGCAGGGACAACTTATAACAAAATCTTTTTCAAGCATTGTAAAATGTGTTACCCCTTTAAAAAGCATATTTTAAAATATTTAAAAATAGTTTACTGGATTACAGTCCTGGTTTTTCCTAGCATAGGTATTTGTTTTATGGATTAATTTAGCCATTAAAAATGATTTACCTGTTTAACAGTATGTCATTTTAAATTACCATTCTGTTTACTTCTATTTTAAGATATTTAAAAAATTAACAAGAAATGTAAAAATATATCTCCAGCCTTTAAATTCTTTTACCAAGAACCCTGACTAAAGTATTTGTTTTAGTCATATCTTGTTTTGGTCATCTCTACTATTCCTTTTACCCTGGGTAATTCAGTATTAAGCTTTCTAAATTGATTTACCCTACTGGACAAATTCTTTTAATACCTCCTAGTACTTCTGTTAGGAATTTCTCGGATATCAAAAGTAGTATATTTAAAGTACTCCGATCAGGGTATTTCCTTTCCCTACCCTGTTATTAGAGCAGAGCATCATGTTCTTTATAAATTTCTGCTATGTATGATTGTCCATGTATTGAAAGATTTTTTTTTCACCTTGAGAAAGGAACTTTATTCATTAAATAGTTTAAGAAAACTTTGATATATTCAAGCAACCATTCATCTTTACATTAGGAATATAAATAGCTGCCTTTATAAATGGCATAACATAGGGTCATGTAAAAATATAACAGGGAGCATATTACAGGACTGCAGTTTAATTCTGGTGTTTGTAGAATGTGCTAAAGTTAGAGAGCTGAGCAGTTCTCTTGTAAAATATGATAGTATACTGGGGCTTCCGATTGGCCAATATTACTTGGTACTTTTTTTTTAAGGATACACATTTCATTTGGAATCAGCAAAGTTTTCCATCAAGTTTTATTCGAGCATATATAATTCTTGGCTTATTGGTAATTTTCAATTTACTCAGAATATTTTTAGCTGCTGAAGCAATTATTTATCAATTAATAAATGGGTTAGGTGTAGTGTGTGGTCTTTGATGCATAACATATATTTAAGAATCAATATGTATCTTTTCTTTCATAAACATGTATAGTTTGCCCTACTGATATCTGCCTGCCTTCCTTCCCACTGTCTGTTCACAGCTACAGTATATGCCATTATATTTGTCACAGGCTAGTGGAGAACGCAGGTGAGTAAATAAGTAATGACAGTAAAAAGAAGCCACCAGCTGTTAAGAGGAAGGTTAGCGAATTTTTCAGAAAGGAACATTTGAGTTTGAAAATGGTAGGTAAGAAGAGGTAGAGTCACCTTTCAGCGAGAGAAGAATGATGGATGTAGATGACTTCCAGAGCTCTCTATGTAGCAAGGCGGAGAAAAACACATAATTTTAAAAGCTTGTGTTTTTTTTTAAGCTCACTGAAGTAAAATGTCACAAAGAAATTGAAGTGAATTAAGTTCAAGAGAAAAATGACCCTTTCCTAGACAAGAAGAGATGGTGACTGCTTGCATCCCTGGGAGCATTAACTGAGTCTGGAGGCATAGTGGGCCAAGGAGCAAGCCTGCCATAGACAGGGGGTCTTTTATGGCCTCAGGAGAAGCCAGCTGAACTTTTAATAGTCACATGTAAGCTGACATGAGAGTTTGGAAGATGGGACCCTCAAACTCAGAGCTGGTTCACCCCAGATGCCAAATCTCATCAGGACTTTACTGAAAAGCAGTGATGAGGATACTTGGGACTGAGCTAGAGAGAGAAAGAAAGATCTTAAAGTCTTGCAGTGCTTAGATCCCAAAGCATTGCTAGAGGAAGAGACCTGTTTCCATCCTCAAGACATTTGAAACTGGCAGTGAACTGCAGCTAAACAAAGGGGCAACTCAGCTTCAACCCAGATAAACTCCTGATAATAGTGAAGAGATCTGCACTCTTCATTCTAGCTGCTTAGCCGAGGAAATGAAGTGCCTTCTGTGGGGGAAAGGATTATCTATTTTAGTATCTATTGTTCTTTTATACACAATATCTGGCAAAAAATAAGAATATTAAGAAATATGATAAAAGGAAAAGGGGATCCTTAATCAAGAGAAAAAATAGTTGATATAAGCAAACTCACAGATAACCCAGATACTTGAATTAGCAAATAAGAACTTTTAAAACAATTGTTATGTTAAAAAATTTAGAGGAAAATGTGGTCCTAAGTTCATGTGATTTCTTTTTTTAACAAAAGCTGACTATTAACCTGACACTTAAGCACTATAAATTTATATCTAGTCAACTTTTTAGTTACATAAATTGACAATTAAAAAAAAGATCATTTGTAAGATTATCCTGCCTTGAGTATTTGTTGTTCAGAAGATGAGGGTAAATTAAACCAAGTAATTAGATAGTTCAGATAAGAATTTTTAGTGGAATAGTTATCACATATGCTACATAGCCTTAAAGTATAGAATAAAAATCATTCCTAGGTGATTTGAATACCAGCAAAATTACTACATTCCGGTGAGTGATGTTTCTTTGCAGTGGTAGAAATAAAATGATTCTTATTTAGACCACATAGAAGAAGAGATCATACTTAGCAGGTCAGTCCTATTACAAATAGAGCAGCCTAGCGCAGGATCAGAATATCTTGCAAAGTCGAATCTTCTTTGGGTTCCCAGAGTTGGGGGAAGAGTGGACTTCAGTGATAGAAGGATTTGAAGATCTGAAGTCCCTTCCACATCTAAATATGCTTTCCTCTTAACTTTCCAACAGGTACAACTGTGACTGTTTTAAGATTGTTTAAGAATCTACCTGTAAGAAAGCAATTTTATTCAACTGCTAAAAAATGTAAAGATGAAATAAAAAAGGTTCATGATCTCCTCATAAGCTATGGTGTACTTAAACCTGACTTAAGGATCCTTTTTATACATAACAAGGTAAGCATTATTGCACTTCTATAAGATTTTTTTGGTATATGATATAAAGGGACAATGTATTTTATCTAAATCAGATATTTAAAAAGTCTTCTTCAAAACTTTGTCTCCATTTGTTTAGTTTAATCTTTATTATATAAAGAGTATCTTTACTTTGTTACCTGCTATCTATATGAAATCTGATTGAACCTTTCATTTTTGAATTTCTAAGATTGGTGATTGTACCAACAGACTTTTCTATCCAAGAAATGCTTAGTGCTTCCTAAATATGAAGATAAATAAAAACTTGTTCTTTTTCTTTATAGAGGTCACAATTGACATTTTCCACCTTCTGTTCTAAACAGTTTCTTCTTTGGAAGAATTTTTTGTTTGTTTTTTAAAGGAAAGTCTACCTCATTTTTTCAAAGCAGAGCTGATAAGGAATTCTTCTTGTTGCTTGATGAATTGTAGGGGAAAGGAAGGTTTACATATTTTCTGATTATTTTGTTTTTCATAGAAGTCCACATGTGCACTTTGCCACAACGCCAAGACCTATGCTAGGTGCATTAAACTTCTATAATCCCCAGCAACAATCAAGTGAGGCAGACATATCAGTTTTGCAGTTCTGTGACCTGAACTCAGGGAGGTTTAATATTTTGCTCCATGTTGCACAGCTAGTAAATTGTTTCATGGGATTTACAATTTAGCATGCTTGCAGAGCACAGGTTCTTTACACTCTACTGTGTTGCTTTCCATTTTAATACTACATTACATTTATATGGTTCTTTTCCAGGTTTCAGAGCACTTACAATAATTTAATGAGTTAGACATTATTTCTATTTCTATGGCAGAATTGAAGTTCAGAGTGATCAAAGGAATTATATTTTATAGTAAGTAATAATGCTGAGGTCAGAACCTTTTTTTATACAGTTTTCTTTTTACTTGTTATTAAGAAAATTTTGTATTAAACCAAGCTATGGTGGAATATTTACGATATTTATGATCAAATTCTTTGGTCATCTTAAAAAAATAAAAGAAGAAAAACATTAAGACTAGTCAGCCACCTGTTCACGCTGGCATAGAGCTCAACCAAATGATACCTTGAGATTCCTTCCAGCTCTACCATGCTGTGATTCTTCAGGATGTTGATGGATAGAGGCTCATCCTACTAATATAAATAACCCTATGACCTCTTGATCCAAAGGACAGTTAGTAATTAAAAGTTGAATATACCCAAGTTAGGAAAAGATCAAGGACAGAAGAAATGATCAAGAAGGAAATACAGATGAAAAGGTAAAATAGGAAGATAGGAACTACGTATTTATTAATATAAAAGAAAAGTGAGTACAACTACAGAGAAAAATTTTGAGTAAGAGAAAACATAATGAAAGAATTAAACAAAATTATTGCCTCGTGATGGAAATTAATATTTAAAATCAAATATATATATATATCTCATAAACTTTGGATAAGTTTATATATAATTTTCCCAACCACTGTAAAATCATCAGTGTAGGCATTTTTTTTTGAGAATGGAAAGTAGTATTTTGTAATGGACTGTATTTTATTATTTTTGGAGGACACTGTATCTAAATTTCTATTGAGCATACACACGTCTCTCAGTGGCCTTCAGTGATTTCAGTTGCAGTTCAAAGCCTGGAGAGTATGCTGAAAGTGTTATACCGTGGAAGTACTATATCAAGTCTTATAGTAAAATTTAGGTATTAGCTATTACTACACAAAGAAATCACGGACTGAATTAGAACAGGCAGTCAGTCTATCTTCAAGCTTTTTTCTCTCAGTACAAATTATTTTTCAACTTTCTTATTTTTTAATAGTGCTATTGTGCCTCAGATGTTAAAATTCATTGTAAACTTTCCAAAATAGCACTGACACTTTATCACAAATCCTTATAGACATTGAATGCAATTCTGGTCTTAGCCTTTTTCTTTTAAACATGCTTTCTTTTATCATTCTTCATGTGCTTTTCTGAAAAATATTTTTGTCTTTGCTTAAAATTAAAACGACAATGCCAGCGTCTTGTCTTTTTTTGAAATTTTTTCCTGCATTAGAAACAATTACATTGCTCATAATATGAGAAGTACTATTGCTATTTTGACATCTTGGATTAGATAGCGTTCCTTCTTTTTATGAAGGTTTAACCTGCCAAGACATTCTTTGAATACTGATAATGTTAATGTTCTTGCCAGTATGGTTATGTTAGAAAGAGGTATTTTTCTTCTTTCATCATCATGTTCCTTGAAAGCATATTGAATAATGAGACAGCCAAAGGGAAATCATTCGCAAGTGGATTCAGTGAGTTTATTTGGAGAAATGCTAGAGCCATTCCTTAGGATAAGCACTACAATTTTCAGCTTTAGTTATGATAACTGAATTCCTGTGAAGCCCTGCTGTGTATATTTTCATGTATAAAGTAGTTATTTCCCATAATCAGAAACTTTTCTCAGCATGATATCTGAAACCAATTTAGGATTCTTAGCTGTTTCATATGTACATGAGTAATTTTGTAGATCACAAGTTCAAAACATAAATGTATGATCTCAAATGAGATACTTTCATGCTTCATACTTGCTGATTTTTGTGAATATTTTCTTTTGCCAAAAATATTGCTTGTGGTTTTAAAATTTGTTTTGAGTTGAATTTTGTCTTCATAATTAGAGACCCACTGATATTGCAAAAGCTAAATTGAGTATTGATATAAGAAAGTTTTAACTGGTACAAAAGAAAGAGAGTAATTGAAGGAATGACTTTCCCCGTGCTCCATCTCCATGTCATATGAGCGTTACGGCTTATTTGGATCTGGTTGTTTACTTTTGAGATCTGAAAGAATGATGACACAGCTTTGACGAGTTGAATATCTCTGGTTTCAGTCAATCTGGGAAGAGGCAGGGCCTTAACCAGGAGCAGAAACCAAGAAAACTGGCAGTGGGGATTTTGTAGTGAGGGTGGTGATGCCCTCTTTTGACATAATTTTCTGAGTCTCTAGGAGGGTACTCTTGTGGCGGTGGCCAAAGATTTTTTTAGGGGGCAGGGTGACCAAGAATGAGAAAGAAGGGACACATTTATGGGATTATAAATTAAAGGTAAATAAATGGTAGCTAGTAATCTGTATCCCTTATGTTCATGATATTCTCTTTGTTCGTTTTATTCTTCTCTGAATCTTTTAACCTTTTACTCTAATATTTTTTAATGTCCCAGTTTTGTTTCAGGTATGCTATGAGAAATCAAGGAAAAGTCTTTTGCTAACAACTGGCCCAGTGTGAAAGGGCCACCCTCTCCCTCCCCCATCCCAGCCAGGGTTGTGGAGGCAGGATAGTCAAAGAGAAATTCCAGTTTAGGACTGTGGCTTCAGTGCTCCTTCCTTATGAAGAAATTATTCTCATTCTCCCAGTTCAAACCTTGAAAGTTTGGGTGGGTTTTGATTTGTTCTTTAATTAATGAAGGTGGATGTCTCTTCAGATATATATATATATATATATATATATATATATTTATTTATTTATTTATTTATTTATTTATTTATTTATTTTAGATTTTTATTGGGGAATTGGGGGAAGGGGAACAGTTGCTGTCTTTTTGTTCTTCAGTCTAGTTGTGGAGGACGTTGCTTCACTGGCCCAAGTTGGCACCATCATTGCGCTCCTCCCTGGGCGAGGCAGATCAGTCGCCGGCTTCTGGATGGCTGCTCACAGCGGCTGCTGGCTACACACGGTAGCTCATGGCAACCCACTGCAGCAGGGGCTGCAGCCTATGCCAGCGACTCACAGCAACCCAGCTCCAGGTAGAGCTGTTGTTCAGCATCTTAGCTGTAGAGGGCAGTGTCACTGGCCCTCATATGTGGAATCCAAACCGAGGCCCTCTGGCATCCCAGGCCAGTTCTTAACCAACGTGCCACTCAGCCGGCCCCTCTTCAGATATATTTTAAAGTTAGCAGCTAATTATCAATTATGATTGGTTTATTGAAGTTTTATTTTGCTACTTGCAAATTTATAACTAAATTTTTTAAATGGTGCCCATGTTTTCTTTGTTATATTAATTTATTTTACTTTTCACCTAACATATGAAATATTATGTAGTAGAGATGAGAGACATATATCAATCAAATTTTAATGTACTTGATTTCTGAGTTCTATGTTTATCCACACTATTAAAGGAATCTCTGAACACTTGCCCTATCCCCCAGCAAGGCTTAGTTACTTCTTGACTTTTTCCATTACATTTTCTGCATTTCTATCATGTAATTTTTAATTTGTCGGCAACGATTTGCATTCTGTCTCCCCTTATCAACAAGCCTCTTCTGTGGCAGAGGGCTGCATCTTACTTGTCTGTATTCCCTTTAATGCATACTCAGTGCATAGCACAGAGTAGAATACTAAATGAATTAGGTAGTGCTAAAATCAAAATACGTAAATTGATATAGCACCAGTTGTGAACACTCTGGCCTCTTTCACACCTTCCTCATAATATCCATACTCGTGTAATGAATCCTTTTTTGAGGATTCATCCTTTTGAATTTTCCAGTGACCTCTTAGATTTTTACAGAGTATATTCTCACTTTTATTTATATATACTATTCTAGTTTATTTTCTTGCCTGGCATCTCAGTCACAGATAATGTCTTCATTAGAACTAGTCAGGAAATACATAAAAACTTTGCATGGGTGGCATAATGGGAGGAAACACTAGACAGGGACACAGTCTCTTAAGGGCCATGAATTTAATATATTTTGTTTCTAATAACTTATTTAAATAGAACCATAAAATTATTCTTTTATGGATCCTCTAACCAAATACATTTTATATACTTAGTATTTATGCTAATACATTTCTCTACTCCAACAGAAGATTTCTCTTCTGATCAGTAATACCCAGAGAATTCTGCACAAATCTAGCTTTTTGAGCTTAGGGCAATAAAAGCTGATTAAATGATCTTGACGACCCTTTTCAACTCTAAAACTCTTTGATTTTTAAGGATGTGTGCATAGATCTTGGGCAATTCCAGAT